TACACTAAGGAGGGTGACAGATTGATTCTGGAGCAGCAGCTTTCTAGCATTCAGTTCTCATTAGAACTGAACAGAGCGAATATAAGCAAATTGCCTCCAGGTGTGATTTTTAAACTAGATGCCACCTGGCCATGAAACGCTGCACAAGTCCTCTTGCACCAATCTCCGTGTGCTAAGCACTATGCTTCCTCACTGCCTCCCATCCACCTCTGTGCAGACTACACGTGTCATTGATATTTCATTCAAGAAGATGGGACACCATAGGCAAACTTGATTTAAATTACTCCCACACCCACAGCAGTGTAAATGAAGTGGGTTGTAAAGAGAGCCTTCCCTCGCCTCAGACCTCTGTCCATCAACCAGCAGTGAAGAGCTGATGAATCATGTTGGCATAATCAGCAAACAAAATGTGAAGAGGCTTTATATAAATATAAAAGAGAGATGTAGAATCAAAAGTAACAATGGCAATTTTAATCAACGTCAGTCTCCCAGAGACAACACTCGCTATTCAGAAGCATCAATCCAGACTTTGTCAGTATGGTCCCACCCAGATATTCTAGCTGCTGTCAAAACGCAGTCCCATCTCAAGTCATTTGTGTGAGCATCTTCTTCAAATGTTTGGGAAGGTTGTAAGCAAGATACTGTGGGGAGGGGAGAGTTGTGTTGATACAGTTGAAGTCAACTGCATACCTCTCTAGCCAGAAAGCTTGCTGTGAGGACTGCCTTCCACACTGTTACACTGGTCCTTTGAAAGTGGTTGCCAGCTAGTTTGCTCTAATCTCTGGACTGCACTTGTGCTAAATGGGGGAGGACTACGGCTACCAGTTGTGATAAACTTTACTATTAGACTAAGCACCTGCAAGCTGGACAATGAGTGTAAACAGAAGAGTCACTTCAGGAAGTATTAAATACGATCCCTACTCTACCCCACCCTTCTACTTCCTGTTTTGTCCTCCTCACTGTACCAGCTGCTGGCTATGCTTTGCCAACAAAACTAAAAGGTTTGGCTGCCACCACAGCAGCAGAAACTGCCCTTCAGTTTCCACAACTGCTAGTTCTATGACGTATTTTCCTACCATGTCAGGATTTCCTCTCACCTTTCAGTGTGACGGACCACATGAACTGGCAATGTTTTCCAGCAGTACTGCTGCTCATCATTGAAAGGATGTCTGCCTCATCTAAATTACTCTCTCGAGTAGTATTGATCAAACAAAACACACTCAGGACTTCCATTCCAAAAAGGTGTGAATGTGTCAGCTCTCCCTGCTAGTACCTGCAGTGACGCAGAGATAGCAGGAAGGTAAGCAGCACACGCAGCAGCCAACATCAGAGTTCCCCGCAATAATAACGAGGCCTGACCTTTAAGCTTAGAGTCCAAATTTCCACTGATCCACTTCCTGTTAGGCTAGCCAAGCCATAACCCACTTGAACCACCCCCTTGCTTTGCTGGAATTAATAATTTCCCTGATTACTCTTTAAATAAGGAAGTCTTCCTCCAAAGTATTGTATAACTGCCAAATGTGCAAATGTTATTTACTTTTAATTCATGAGAAATACTGGGCATGCTTACATTATCTGTCAAACACCAGAATTAGCAGTTTTATATTCTGCCCATTCTATACCAGGGGAAGGCAACTTGGGCGCTACTTGGCTTCAAGGCTGTCTTTCTCAGCCTACAGGGATTTCTGATACGATGCTCAGTGAAGTTGCCCATCTCATTCTACAAAGCTTTTTAGTATGCTGGTATTTAAAAAACAAAGCAAAAACCCCACTGTCCAAGAGGCTGTAATCTTTTAAGTCCTGCAATTGTGTAACCTCTAGCCTTTTAAAGGGGGCTTTTAGAGAGGCCTCAAGCAAGCATCACTGAAATAAGTTTACACGAAACAGGCATTTTTTTTTGTTTTGCGTGTGTGTGTGCGCCCATGCCTGAAAGTCATGGTGATCTCTGGCGACTCCTAATGGGGCACCGAGGACATTCAGAGAAGTGGCTTGATAGCCTGCTTCTGGTCTCCCGGCCCTGGTATTCTCTGGAGGGCTCCCATCCAAATACTTGCCAGGGTTGTCCCATCTTAGCTTCCAAGACCTGATGGGATCGGGCTTGCCTGGGCTATCCAGGTCAGGGTGAAGCAGGCAAAATTTTGGCATAACAATCCTGGGCAGATGAATGAATGGATATATATTGATTAGGGTCTGGATAATTAATTTCTGACATAACATTTTCTAGATCTCAGGAGTACTGCAAGACTTACATCCAAATGTGTGTTGTTCCAATATTGTTAGGAGTGAGTCTGTAACAAAATATACAGTTATCACTTAAGCATGTTCCCATGCAACTGTCAGGATTCTTCACCCACCCTGTTTTAATTTTTTAATAACATTTTGTGGAGCATGGGTAGCACTCTGCATCGGAACAGCCAGTGCTTTTTTGTAATAAAAAAGTGCCAGTACTCATATATAAGGTTGTGCTAATTTTCACCAATCGCCCTTTCGAGACTTAGGAGAGCCCTGAAAAAAAAGTGCCAGTACCATTATTGGGGGGGGGGGGGGACCTGGGAACAGTGTTATATTACAACCTTTAAAAAAAACTATATATTTGTATAGTTACCATGGGATTATCCCCCTTCGCCCTGTTTAAAGGTAACCTGAGATGTGGGCAATTCTCTTATGTTATGCTAAAGAGTAATTGACAAGATAACACTTAACATTGCAGTTGTACTGTTCCAGAGTACTTTCAGAGCTCTCTTGAGAACTGCCCATGAGATAACAACTTTGAGAGAACTTATGACTGACCCAAGGTCAAACTAGCCGCTGCATGTGGAGGAGTGGGGAATCAAAAATGGTTCTCTTCAGTTAGACAAATCATAAAGCACTGGGGGAAAGGCACAGGTAGATTTATTTATTTATTTATTTCAGCTTATATACCGCTCCTTCCCGAAGGCTCGGAGCGGTTTACAGAGAAGTATTTAACGTATCTAACTAAGACCACACAGTACAGGGGAGAAATGAAAGCCTAACAGGCACCTGAGCAGGGTGTATTCATGGTGGGTTCTTCCTCCAGTCGATGGTGTCTCGGCGGGATCTTCCGGTAGCAACTCCTTCTGGGTGGACCTTCGTGGTGCGCGGCTCTGCAACGGTCGCAGCACTGGTCTTATTGGCTCCAACCGTGCTGCGTTGCTGCATCGTCACGCCTCCTATCTGCCTGGGTTGTTCGTCGCCCGACTTTGCCGTATTGCCATTCGTCCATCCCCTGTCGCCACCACACAGCCACCACTGCTGCTACACGCCATCCATGGAAGGAGGGTGCCCCCCACTCTTCTAAGAGCAGGTACCCATTTGTCTACTTGCCCCAGGCCTTTCGAGCCGCTGGGTGGGCGGGAGCTGGGACGAGGGCCGGGAGCTCACCCCGACCGCGGTGGGACTCGAACAGCCTTGTGGCTGTTCAGAGATAGCTTACTACAGGTTCTTTTACAGCCTGCCCTCAGAACACTAGAGCAGTGGCAAAATAATGAAGCAAAAGGGCAAGGGGTAGTTTCCCTTTGAGACACAAGAAACTGCTCATATCCGATGGGGAAACACCATTTCTTTACAGGTTTAAAATAAAGTGGGTATTTTTGAGGATGGAACGGAATGTTCATGATTTGTACACGAATCCAGAATGAGATGTAAAACCACGAAAAAGCTGCATGCATCAGGTAGCTGTAACATAGAAAATCCTCAGTGAAAGCAACCCTGGAATGTATCCATGTTAATCTAAATCACTTGAGACAAATGAATGCAGTTACAGAAATACGTCACTAGGTGATGCTCTCTCTCTCACTCTGGAATCTGGTATTGAAGCCATTTATGTTCTTGGTTCAGAACACTTTATGATCCGAAATTCTACAAGTGCTTCATGTGATCCAGAGCTCTTAACGTTCATTATCAACAGTAGTTTCTTATGGATGGAAAAGAACAGGAGAGCCGTGGTTCATAGAAAACTCTGTGCATGTCTAAGTGCCCCCCCCCCCTAATGCTGGTTCATGGAATATGTATGGTAAGGATTTATTCTAATTTAGAAAAAGTGGCAACTTTTAGACTCTGTTTATGAACTTGGTACACAGACAGGTTTCTCAGGTGATTTATATCAAGATGCTTGAGACATCATCCCAAACAGTGGTCAGTTCACACAAGGGTAAGCTATTGCTCCTAATCTAAAAAGGGGGGGGGAACACTGGGAAATAGGTGGGGTGGGTTTCTACAGAACTTTCCTCCCATAAATTTCTCCAGTAAGAGAAGACTGCAGTATTCAATCCAAGTTTCCATTTTTAAAAAATCTGGATTAAAAACCTGTGTTTCCCTAGGATTTTAAACATTCTGAAAAAAATTACTATTCCCATTTGGGATTTTGCAATCTCTCTCATAGCGGCTATTCTCAGCAGAGAACGCAGTTATATAGCAGATATCTCTTTCTCCCAGGTTATTTCTAAAACTCACTTCACCATGATCAGTAAAGACTGTTCCCATTAGGGTCATCAAAGTGTTGATCTCACACTTGGTTCTCTAACGTCACTGCTGTTGCCAGGGTCGCTTAACATATTGTTAGAACCCATGAACTAGGTAGTGTATGAAGAGCTTGTACTCCTGTCCTCTTGTTTTAACTGTTTTCCTGCCCATTTCACTGAGACTGCTTTTGGGCTTCTCAATAGCTGTCTTGCTGACCAATGTTAGTACAACACCCTGTTTCAAGATGGACTTCTGTCCTGGCCCATCTGTTCTTATTACAGAGTAACAATCACTTGAAAGTGCAGAAGAAGTTGAGCTACAATGCATAAGACAAATATAGTCAGCATAGGGGAAAGAGGACAATCACTGACCCAGTAAAGAGGGGGAAGCTGTTCTGGCATGGCAGAGGGGTATGGTGGCAGCATCAGGAGGATTATGGGAAGAAGCACACTCAAGATGTAGGACATTACTTCATATTTTGTAAAAGAAAGGTTTATTAATAGAATCCTTTAACAGATTTTGTTAATAAGAACTTCCAGGTAGCATACCTTCACTAGTTTGGTGCAAACTACACTCAAATGTCAGGAAGAAAAAAGGATGGACTTTTTTCACACAACAGGCCATTGACTTGCAGAATTCGCTGCTATGAGATGCGATGGTGGGCACAGGCTTCGATGGCTTTTAAAAGGGGACTGGCCAGATACATGAAGGATAGATCCATCACTGCTGATTGGTCATTATAACTAAATGAGCCCTTCTGGATACAGAACACCATTGATTGTCAGACACTGGACAGAGGTCAGCAGGTGAAGGCTGTTATCCAAGAGCTTGGGGGCTTCCTGGTGGCATCTGACTGGCTACTGTTGGAAACAAGATGCTGGACTAGATGGGCCACTGGTTTGGTTCAACACAGTTATTTAAATCTTCAGGAACCTTTCACTACGAAATTCTCTAGCAGTCACACACACGAGAAATTCAATTCATATCAGAACCTTCTCTTTGAAGAAGTCACTGGACTTCTGTCCTTTCAGGTTTCAAGTCTTTAATCCCTTGAATGAGTAAATCCAGACCATCCTCATCTTCCAAGCCACCTAAGTTTAATTCATCACCATCCCCAAGGTTATCCCTTGTGCTCTTCCTCTGCTGATAATTTTTGGCAAGCTGATTCTCAGTTTTCATTGGGCTCGTCTGAATCCTAAAACAAACAAACAAGAACAACACACAGCAACATCTCTTGGACTGAGTTATCAAAACAGGATGAGACCTTCTGTAAAAAAGAAAACAATCATATTCCTACTTGATTGCAGTAACCATAGAGAAGCATGCTAGCCCAGAGACAGCAAACTAATGCTGGTACAAGCGTAATAAAAACCATTGCCATACTCTAGATGCAACCCAGGTTTGGTTTCTCTTCTCTGTTTAGTGTTGATGGTGAGCCATTATTTGACAAACCCAAAGCATGATTTATTACTTGCCTCTTTTATGACATGACATTACTTAATCTTGTTTAAAGTCTGTACTTCCAAAGCAGACAACAGCTTTATTGAGCTGAAATAAAACCATGCATTCAAAATACATTACACATTTTTTCCTGAACAGTAGATTGGAATAAACTTGCAGAGTACTTAACCAATAAAAGCCCAGCAATTAGTAGCAGAAGAGAGTTTCCACTACTTAAGAATCAAGCATAACCTCACATGCTACTGAGATTTTAGGGCAACAGTACTCTCAGTGAATTTCACGATACTTAAGGGAAAAGCGAGGCATAGCACTATACTTGTGTTAGCCACAGCCCACTTGTTCGTATTGCCACTGTCAAATCCCACAAAATGAACATGCTGATAAATAAGGTTATTCAAAGATATAGTTCTATTGAACACTGTTTTCTTTTTCAGGGGATGGGTGTTCTGAAAATTATGCACACCCCCTCACCCGCACTCAAGAGTACAAGGAAAAAATAGCAAATAAATCAATCATCATCTTCATTGATCTGAAGGGCATTAACGTGGACACAAGGGGGGTACTCTTGCTGGTGATTGCTACTAATTTTTTTAAACCCTCCCAGAGGCTATAATACTGCAGTGGGGAATGGAAGATTTGTCTCCACTTACCGTGAAGCTTCCTTCTCGGTGGTCCAGAGTGGGGCAGTCCTTCAGACTCCTTACTCCTGGGAATAGCTCCTCCTCTCTGAAGGCAGGGCCGGCAGACTCTTTAGTCACAGAGGGGAGGGGCTTCTCCCCAGGAACCCAGTCATTCTCCAAGCCTCCATTCCCCTTCACTGCAAAGGAAACTGACAACATCGCTCCCAACGGGGAGCTAACCATCCAACAAAATTTGAAATAACCCGTCCCTCAACGGAACCAGCTAAGGTCAACCAACCCCTAACCCCTGTCTGTACACGGACAGAAAAAACAATACCCCGTTGATGAAGGAAGTGGTCCCCGTGCACAAGGGTGGGCAGGACTGCCCCACTCTGGACCACCGAGAAGGAAGCTTCATGGTAAGTGGAGACAAATCTTCCATTCTCCGGTGGTCCAGGAGTGGGGCAGTCCTTCAGACTCCTTACTCCTGGGATGTGAAAAAGCAGTACCCTCCAGGGTGGGTCCAACCACTTCCCCGTATGCAAGGTGTGCTGTAAGACCTTACAGCTGAAGGCAGCCTCCGCCGAGGCCATCTTATCTATCCTATAGTGCCTCCTAAAGGAGTGCACTGATTTCCAGGTAGCCACCTTGCAGGCTGACGAGCTGGCCTCCCCTCTGAGGGAATGGGCCATAACCCCCTGGGGAGGCTCCAGACCCCTAGCACTATACGCCAAGCATATGCACCCTCGAAACCATCTACTTAGGGAGGAAGAAGAAACCTACCTACCTAGGGACAAAAAGGGAGTCAGTGCTCCTCACGTGCCTCGTCCTATCTAGGTAGAAACTTAGTGCCCTCCTCACATCCAGGCAATGCCATTCCCTTTCCCTCTGGCCTTGAGGGTTTGGGCAGAAAGATGGAAGAACAATATCCATGGACCTATGGAGGGCTGAACTGATCTTAGGGACAAAGGCTGAATCAGTACGGAGGATCACTCTGTCGTTATGGAAGATACCTAGTTCCTTGTCCATCGAGAGGGCCCTCAATTCCGATACCCTTCATGCTGAAGTGATGCTCACCAGAAAGAAGAAGAGATTGGATTTATACCCCATCCTTCACCCGGAGTCTCAGAGCGGCTTACAAACTCCTTTCCCTTCCCCTCCCCACAACAGACACCCTGTGAGGTAGGTGGGGCTGAGAGAGCTCTGACAGAAACTGTTCTTTTTCAAGAACACCTCTGACAGAACTATGGCTTGCCCAAGGTCATCCAGCAGCTGTGAGTGAAGGAGTGGGGAATCAAACCCAGTTCTCCCAGATTAAAGTCAGCGCACTAAACCACTACACCAAACTGGCTTTGTCTTGGTCAGCTCCTTTAAGGCACATGTTGCCAAAGGCTCAAAGGGGGCCTTACACAGAGCCCTGAATGTTGAGGTTCCAAGTTGGAAACCTATGTGCCTGCGGAGGATTCAAGAGGGATATACCCCTTATGAACCTTTTAACATGAGGGTGTCTAGCTAACAAATTGCTTTTCCTAGTTCCCCTGATGGCCTCCTCAGAGTGCTTGTGCTTTCTCCAACCCCTCTTGAAGAAAGGATAGGACTTCACCCACGGGTGCCCTAAGAGGGTCCTACCCCCTCCCTGTGCACCAAGAATGAAAAACTTGCCGTGTGTTATTATAGACCCTGTTGGTAGAACCCTTCCTGGCCGCTAGCCTGGTCTTAACCACCCCCTGTGGTTAGCCTATTTCAGTCAGCTGCTACTGCTCAACCTCCAAGCTATGTGACTTAATGACCCTGGTTGAGGATGAACTGCCACTGCTTGTGTCAGGAGATCTGCCACTGGAGGCAGATGCCATGGTTCCCCCACCGACAGTCTCTTCAGATCTTGAAACCAGGCCCGACGGGGCCAAAATAGGGCCACTAGAATGATCTCTGCTTTTTGATCTATCACTCTTTGGACCACTCTGTGAATGACTTGAATCGGTGGGAAGGCATACAGCAGTGCCTTTGACCACTTGAGATGTAGTGCATCTGTGCCCATTGCCAGAGGATTCTTTAGTCTTGATACGAAGTTTCTTGTTTGACAGTTTTGTTCTGTGGTGAATAGGTCCACTTCCAGTGCCCTGAATCTGTGACAGAGTTGAACAAACATTGTCCTGCTGAGCATCCACTCCGACTGATCGACCCACTGCCGGCTCAGCCAGTCGGCCACACTGTTCTCCCAACCTGCCACATGTATCGCCTTTATGGACATGATGTGTGTCTGCCCACCTCACCAGTTGGCGTGTCCCACCTTGTTTGCTGACATAAGCATTTGTTGTTATGCTGTCCGTTTGGACCAATATGTGACTTTCTCCCTAGAATTTCTCTAGACCCATTCTAATCATCCTCAGCTCCAGCAGATTCATGCTGTTGGACTTCTCCAACAGGCTCCAAATGCCTTATGCCATTCTCCCCTTAATATGTGCCCCCCCCCAACCAAACAGGCTTGCATCTGTTGTGATTACCACTCGGACCGGCTCCCTGAGTGGCATGCCCTCTGAGAAGCAGTTTGATTCCAGCCACCAAGCTAACGTATTGTCTCACTACCTGTGGAAGGACCACCTTTCTGGCCCTCTTCTCAGCTAAGTCCTGAAAGGGGAGGAGAAAGCGTTGTAGAGGACATGTGTGGAACCTGGCCCATTGTAACACTTCCTGGCATGATACTTGCATCCCCAAGAGTCGTGCTAGCATCATAACTTCCACTCTTTGTAAAAGCACGACCCCCTGTGTCAGTTGCATTAGTTTATGTTGTCCCTCTTGAGATAGAAACACTGTCCCTCACCATGTCAATGTGCACTCCCAGATGAAGTAGGGATTGAGATGGTATCAAAGAACTCTTTTCCAAGTTGATCACGAATGCATGATCCCTGAGTACCTTCATTGTGATCTCCAGTGACTTTACTGTTAGATCGTATGAGTTGGCCTTGACTAATATGTCGTCTAAGTAGGGGTACAGTGATACCCCCTTGGTTCTGAGGTAGGCAACCAGGGCCATTAGGACCTTGGTAAAGTCCCTCGGTGAGGACTTCAGGCCAAAAGGAAGTGCCCAATACTGGTAATGGTCTCTGTGGTAGGCAAATCGAAGAACTGGTATGTGTAGATAAGCTTCCAATAAGTCTATGGACGCCCTATAGTCCCCTTTCTGTATGGAGGTCAGAATGGATTTCACCATTTCCATCTTGAACTTTAGCCATTTTAGGTTCAAAATCGCTCTTACATCCCCATTCTTCTTGGGTACGATGAAGAAGACTGAGTAGACCCCTTGAGATCTCTCTAGGAATGGGACTGATTCTATTGCCCCTATCTCGAGCAGATGGGCAATGGCCACTTTGTCTGTGTTTCACTCTGGATCTGTTCTTTGGTAGCTCCATGAAATGGTTTGAAGGTAATGACCAAAATTCTAGGGAATATCCTGTTGTGACAGTGTCCAGAACCCATCTGTCTGTGACTGTCCTCTGCCATACTCATGCAAACTGCTGAAGATGGCCCCCGACGCCTGTCTGTGTCCTCTTTCCGGCATAGTCATGCCTGGGGTCCTTTCTTTGCATTCTTGCCATTGTGGGATTGCTTTGTGAAGAAAGAGAATGATCTGCCATCTTTGGACTTGGGTTACCACTTGCCTTTGTAAGATCTATTATTGCCAGTTTTGGTCTCTCTTCTGGAGTCCCAAAAGGACTGAAGATATCGTCTCATCTTTCCTTCCCTCTTCTTTGAGAACCTTCTTCTTATCCTTATCTTCAACAAGGTACCTTTCCAGACCTTCTCCAAACAGGTTAGCACCTTTGAATGGAACCACTGTCACTTTAGTCCATGCTGAAGGATCCACATCCGAGCTCCTCAGCCAGGTGTTACATCTTGCCGTGACACTGCAAGTCATGCTCCTGGCCAATTGTTGCACTTCATCCAGTGTGGCATCCGCCGCAAAGGCCCTAGCAAGAGCAATCTTCTTTAGCTCATCCTTTAGCTCTTTAGGAATGCCACTATCCACTTTTGCCAGATCAGAAAACCATGCATATGCTGCTCTGGCAAACATGGACTCTGTAACAGAAGCTCACAGAGCATTAGCCGACGCTTCAAAATCTCTCCTCAGGGCTTGTTCTATGTGCTTATTGCTGTTCTCTTTTGTAAGCCTATCTGCCCCCATCCACTGAGGTGGATGCCAGGCTATTAACTGGGTCATCTACTACGGGCAGTTTCAGCTTTTTTTAAGCTTCTGGTATCAGAGAATAAAACTTCCCAAATGCCGGGTGAGGGGCTTTAGGTTTAGCTGGGTGCTCCCACTCTGCCTTCACAACATTATAGAAGGCTGCTGGCGGTGGTACCCCCACTGCTTTAGCATTTGCTTTGGGCATAGTTTTGTCTGATCCTACAGGAAAGCCAGAATCATCTTCCTCCTCTTCTTTTGGGGTGTAAGCTAATTTAAGTGTCCTAATGACTTCTGGAAGGAATCTATTGTAGAGTTCCTGTGGGAAAAGCCTAGATTGTGCCACAGGAACCTTCTCCTCTGACAACTCACCCTCTTCCTTGGGTGATCAGAGTCTGCAGATGCTGAATCGTACTCTAATTCATCTAATAGAGGACTATGTTCCCTTTGGTATTCTTGGGCCTTTTTTCTCTTTTTTTTTCAGGAAAATCAGGTTCCCACTCACTAGGGCTGTGCCTTTTGTAATGCTGGGGAGTGTGGGGATGCCTGTGAGACTCCTGCTACATGGCGTTAAACTCCTTCCTCATTTCTAGTTTCAACCATGAAAGGTTAGATTGGGCCTCTTCCCCAAAAGGGTGTTCCTCTACTTGATTTAGAGGGGATTCAGGAGACTCAGCCAGGTCAAAAGTATAAGTTTCAGTTTCCAGTTCCATAGATGTGGAGGATCCTGCTTTAGTAGCCATTTTGTACTCTCCCTGAAAGCGAAAGTAACGACTTTGTCCCCAAAATGGCTGCTTCCCACCTTTATTTCCCATTGCCCAGGCTTTCTATGGCCCTGCAAGGTCGGGGGGGGGGGGGGCTTTGACCAAACCCAAGGTTGGGAAGTATTTGTTCACTATACCTAATGACCCTAGAACTCCCAGGTGGTCTCCCATCCAAGTTCTGGGTCTTTCTTCGCCTCCAAGCTTCAAGGTAAGCTAGCCTGGGGGGGAGGGAGGATTGCTGCGCTAGTGAAGGAACTCTTCCCCATCCCCTTTTCTTCTCCAATGCCCCGGCCACTGCAGTTCCTTCCCTCTACCCACTGTAATCCATGGGGGGGGGGGGGAGTCAGCCTTGGGAAGGAGCCCTCCCGGTCCCTTTCCCTGCTTACCGCACCATTGTGGACCAGGACTTGGAATCGGCCTCCCACGTCTGTAAGAACAGGGAGCTGCTTGTAGTGAGCAGGTGAGGCTCTTCAGTGCAGCTGCGGCAGCCCCACCGATACTGGAGACTCTATCACTTCCCTCCTAGGCTCCCTATGGGCAGGGAGCAGAGGCTCGACCAGTCCCCCCCTCCTGGACTGGAAGCGCTAGCAGGAGTCTCGTCGGTGTTGCGGTCCCCCAGGGTTCTCCCAGGTTCGTCAATGCCTTTCCGAGGGAAGCCGCGCTTCTCCCACAGCTGTAAATGGCCAGAAGGAAGGGGGGGAGAACAGAGGAGCTATGAAGCTGCCTGTTCCTGCCCTTCTCCTTCTGGCTTCTTCTTTCTTTTTCTAATTACTGTGCTCCAAAGGAGCACTGTCTGCAACATCTTGCTTAGAAGACAGGGCTGGAGACTGGGTTCCAGAGGTCAAGCCCCTCCGTGACTAAAGAGTCTTCCGGCCCTGCCTTTGGAGTGGAGGAGCTATTCCCAGGAGTAAGGAGTCTGAAGGACTGCCCCACTCCTGGACCACCAGAGAAGCTATTTTCCTACATGATCAAATTTCAACAGTTTGGAAAATGTCGCAGACTATAGTTGATGTATGTATGCACATGAAACAGTTCTATTGCTTACCACAAGTAATGCATGGGCATCCAAAAGAGAATATCATACAACTGCATCCCACACATGCTTGCTCAGAGAAAACTGCATTTCTCCAGCAATAAAATGTTGCTGTATGATTGCTGGGAAAATACTGAACAACAAACAAACTACCTTAAGACAACAGTCATAGCTGTTTTATATATACATAGTCCTAAAGTTGAATGCATGGAGAAATCCTCAGTAAGTATTTCCATAAACAGACCAAACAGACCTAGTAGTTACATCCTAGTTACACGGATGGGCAAAATGTGTACATTACCAAGCAGAAATATATTACCAAGCACATATTGTGTTTGACCAAGCTAGCAATTATGTATAAAATTTCCTTGCCTCTGCCTAGCTTGTCATATAATTTTCAATTTGTCTATCCAAGGAATGAAGGCAGCTTCTTAATGTATATAAAGACAACCACATAACTTAAATACACCCATGTCAAACTCAGAGCAATTTTCAATCTGTTTATCATAAAACAATCAACTACATAAGAACTCTAGGCATAGGGAAAAAATCCCAAATTTTAAGTGTGCTTACGGAATAACTATTTCTTCTCTTTTCCCACACTTAGCACATAGATCCAGTTCACAAGCACACGGTTTGCAGATTATGTGGTAAGAATCCTTGACAGTCTTCTGTAGGCATTTCACACTATTAAAAGAGAAACAAAAGTCAAAACAGTTAACAAGAATATTTGTCACAAAGGATTACTATCTGCCTGTCATGACAACTTGCTAAGTGGAATTATTTTTTTAACCAGAATATTTTTTTCAAATATCAGATGCCACAAAGAAGAAGAGAAGTAAAACCTGGAGGGCAAGGGTAAAAAATCCTTCCATTATGGGATTGTTTTCAAATGTAAACTAACCATACTACTTAGAGAATAAAAAATAAGTGGAGACCCACAAGAAACTTGCGGGATGGTTATCCTATTCCTCACACTTTTGCTTCCTCCTGTCTCCCTCTACCTCTTCCTCACACTTTTTCTCCCTTCTGCCCCCTTTCTTTCTCTCTCTCTCTCTCCTCCATGTATGGTTTGGAGGGTGAAGCCTATGGCATTATACTGATCTGTAGTTCCTCCCCTCCTCAAATCCCACCCTCCCCAGGCTCCACCTCACAAATGTCCAGGAATTTCCCAACCTGGAGTCGGCAACACAATTTCCTTCCCACCCAACAGCCAACCTACCTTTATCTGCCTCTCTGTCTTCAGCTTTCTGTCTCCACTCCCCTCCCCCACAGCCTCTACCTGGGAAAATTACAGTCTTTCTCCACAGTGGGGACCAAAGCAGCTTACATTATTCTCTCCTCCTTTTTATCTGCACAACAACCCTGTGAGATTGGCTAGGCTGAAAGTATGTGACTGGTCCAAAATCACCCAGTCAGCTTCCACCGCAAGATGGGGATGTGAACCTGGGTCTCGCAGACCCTAATCTGAAGCTCTAACTGATGCACCGCACTGGCTTTCATAGGGTGGCTGCTGATGAACAGTAGCAAGCAGCTGGGCCTAATTGAGGCATGCAAATCAGGTGGTATCAAGTCACCTAGAGGGTGCTGCCTAGGGATGCCGGCCTCCAGGTGGGACCTGGGGATGCCTGGAATTACTGCTCATCTCCAGACTACAGAGATAACTTCCCATGGAGAAAATGGATGCTTTGGAGGGTGGACTCTGTGACATTGTACCCCACTGAGGTCCCCGCCCTCCTCCCCAGGCTCCACCCCTCAAATCTCCAGGAGTTTCCCAGCCTGGACCTGGCAACCTTATCCAGAATCCCCTGTCGGTGGCCAGGGGGGGAACCTGGCAACCCTAAAGTGC